TCCTTCCTTCCTCTTCCAGGCCCTCAGAGACAGTCAGAGGGCCTCACCCTGACCACTTCATCACTCCCAAACGCTCACCTTTTAGCACCACGAAGGCATTCAATTTCCTCTTAACACCTTCACAACCAAATCTCAACATAGGAATTTTAGGGGGACCCAAATCTTGGCAATACCCAAATAGCTGTGCCTCTGCCAGGCAGGCGACATGACTACGCCATCCGCACAGGGCCTTCTGACCCTGCCCCAGGTGTTGCTCACTGTCATGTCCCACCGCCTGGTACATACGAGGGGCCAAGCAAATGCCGGCCGGAAGCAGCGGTCAGCAAGCTTGCATAAAACAACAGAAAAGGGCTTTGAGGGCCTTTCCCCAAAAGCAGCCGTAGCAAGTACGTAGAGGAGCCAGTGCACCTGTGCTCTGATATAGCCACATGCAAACTGGTGGGGGGGCCTGGCCAGCCCTCAGCCACAGTGTGCCGACTCTGAATAAATGCCTCTCTGCTGCCTGCCTGGTCTGCTGCCCCTCAGAGGAGTCGCCTTGAAAGAGATAAAAGTGGTAGCTCTGATGCCAGCACCACCCCCTTGCTTTGGCTCCTCTGTCTGGGAACATGGATGAAAGGAAGGCACCAGCCTCCCTGGCCTGGCCTTGATAGCAGCAGTAGAGGGTATGTGCTCTCAGGCCCAGGTCCAGCCTTGCCAGGGGCACGCGGGCCTCCACCTACTGGTGAGTTCTGGGGGCTGAGCCAAGCCCCACGGCATGCTGGCCATCAGCTGCAGCCCAGGAGGGCTGTTGCAGGGGGAGTGCCCCAGTCTCAGGAGAATTTGCAGGGTGGTGGGGGGAGCTGAGGGGCTCAGAGCAAACATTTCATAGCTGATGCGTTCTTAGCAAAAGAATTTCTGGCAGAGGGAGATGGGTTATCGTAAACCCAGCATTCCTGATGGATGCGTTTCAGGTCTTCTGGCTTGTTCACCCCAGCTCCGGAACATCCAGCAAGGGTGGGTGGGGCCAGTGAGGCCAAGAAGGCTCTTCACCGCAGCCTGGGCCCTGGGTCCCACCTCCACAGCGGGCTGGCCTGGGCAGACCGGCCTGGGTGGGTAAAGGAGGGTAGGACCCTGCAGAGCTCACTCCCCTCTTCCTTGTGCTGGGAGTCCCCTGTGGCCTGCCTCTCACCCAGCTCCTTCCCAGGGATGTCTTCCCCCTGCCTCCAGTCAGACCTGGCCGCTCCAGACTCTGGAGTCAGACCTCAGCAAGCCCCTGCTTGGGGCTTCAGGGTCCCAGGAAAGTCCCTGTCTGTGCCCAGCAGCTTCTCTATAGGAGGGAACCTCACCCCCTACCCGCCCAACTTTCTGGTACTGTTGCTCTCTGCCCAGTCACCTTCTCCAGCCAGGGTGTGGCTGTACATACTTCTCTTTCTAAAGCGAATTCCAAACAAGGGGTAATAGCTTGGCCTTTCTTTTCCTTCCATCATGCTTTTGTGGGCTGTGGGCTCTTAGGGACTGTTCAGAGTGGAGCCTCCTTGCTCTGCAGCTCCTGAGTAAGTCCTGGTGGCCTGTCAGCCCCCAGGAGACTAGGGCGTCCTTCAGTCATTTCATGTGCCCAGCACAGGCCCAGCTCAGAGTGAGGACTCAGGGCTGGGTGACTGGTGTGTGGTCACGGATTAGCTCTGCTGTCAAAGCCGTGCCCTGACAGGTCATCTTCACATACCAAGCACAGCTGGGGAGGAGGGTCTCTGGCCACAGCTGGGGGTAGTCTTGATCCCGCCTCCTCGTTTTTGAGCTCCTGGGCCAAGCACTGTCTGTGCCGTGGTATAAGATGGCCCAGAACTGTGGCTGTCAAACTTGGGTATCCCTGAGAATCTCAGAAGTCTGCGAGCACCGGCGATTCCAAGGCCCCTTGGTAGCTCCCTGGGTGACCCCAAACCAGCAGTTAGCAAGTACACATGATGTGATGCAGGTGGTCGGTCCCAGGGTGTACTCAGGTGGGGTGCACCACTAGTAAAGCACAAGGTGACACAGTGTGAGGGGTGATGGGACAGTGGGATCAGGAGAAAAGGGACTAACCTGGGGAGGGGAGGGAAGCCGAGGCGTGAGCCAAGCAGGGTGTGGTACGATGGTTCATCTTGACTGAACGCTGTGTTTCGGGCACAGTTCTAAGCCTCCGACATGAAGGAACTCACTCCATCCTTCCCCAGCCCCACAAAATGGGTGTTGTTGCCCCGAGTTCATGAAGGAGCAGACCCAGCACAGAGGGGTTACGTCGCTTGTCCAAGGTTGTGGCTAATACAGGTGAGCCGGGTCTCGTCCTCTTACTCCACGGCCTGCAGGGGGACCCGCTCACACAAGGCTGCACAAGCCACGGGGGCTGGGACTTGCTTCTTAGCAGGCAAAGCCTGATGTGGTCATGTGTGGTTCAGGTGACTCGGGTCCTCGTGTGTGGGGACTGCTCGAATTTCCTTTAGCTGGCAGATAACATGACGGTCTTAGGGCAGAAGTTCCAGGAGAGGCGAACAGCAGATTGGGAGGGCTGAGCCCGGGCTGGGGAGCTGGGGCACCAGGCTCCATACGGCCTCTCAGTCTGAATGAGGAAGGAGCCTAGAACATGGCTCCAGGGGAGAAGGCTCACGTTCATGCTCAGGGTGCAGCAAGGCACATGCCCCCACACCCTGTCCCGGTCCCTCTCCCTTGCCCTTGGGGTGTGAGGTTCAAGGGGAGTACACTTGCGTTAGGAGCCTGCCACACGCTTCGCATGCCTTTCTCTTGGTGCTTGCATCACCCTGCAACATTGGGCTTATTATTCCTGTTTACAGACTTGGAAGCTGAGGCTAGGAAGCAAAGCAGGGTCAGATAGTGAAGAAGCAGAGAGTGGCACCAGGCCCGCCTGTCCTGTGTTTCACCACGGGAGGGGCCACCTGTGTTCTGAGAGGCCGAGTGTCCTGCACAGACAGCAGGACCAGGAGTGGGGACAGGGCCAGGATCGGTAGGGCAGGTTGCCAGTGACCAGCTAGACAGGTCTCAGCTGTGCTGGGCCCTGGATGGAGTGGCCTGGCATGTGGGGACAAGTTTCCTGTTACGGGTGGCATTCCATGCCTGTAGGTTCAGAAGATTACATTTCCCAGGATCAGATAGGCCCAGGGTCTTCAGAGTGTGGCCTGTTGGGGGTCTAGGCCCTTATGATGGGAGTTGACCATCTGTTGCCCTGGTGGCTTGCCTAGGCCCGAAAAGAGAGGAATCTTCCCATTAAGAAGGCTCCTAAATAAGACTGATTCTGTGAGCTCTTGTTTCTATCCTCCCATAGTAATCAATTGCTAGCTCCTTCCCTCCTTTTTTTTTTCTATTAAAAATATGTTTTATAATGAGTGTGCCTACACATGAGAGAGAGAGAAAACACCCTCAGCAGGGTTTCGTCATGTCACTATCCCCTCCTCCCAGCCTTCCGAAATGTCAGGGTCTTGGGCACCCAGGCGTGTTTTCAGGCTGACCTAGGGATTTGAACCCGCGGGCTCAGTACTCTGTGAGCTGATCCACCAGCTGGGCCCATCCTTTTCTGTTTGCCAGTCACTCTCTGACTGTCCCCAGTTCCTTTCAGCCGGTACTTAAAGCGGAGCCTGTCAGTTCATTGACCCCGAAAACTGCTTGAGACCTTGCAGAAGGCTTTGCTCTTGCCCGTGTTGCCTGTTACAGGCTGTTTTTGTGGAATGTTGGGAGTGGACGGGCAGCTGTTGCCTCTCTGCTAATGACCGGGGGCAGGACTGAGGTCTGAGTTCAGGCGGCAGCCCCTGCTCCAGGTGTTCTGACAGTGGGTGCACAGCTCCTTCCAGGCCCATTTACAGACAGGGTAGCCAAGACCACAACTGCTGGAGAGAAGAGGAACCTGAGTTCTAGGAATTGCATGCTTCTGCTTCGTTCTTTGCTTTGCCTTTTTTTTTTTGGAGAGGTTTTTGCTATAGGGTGTGTGCACTCACCAGAAAGACAGAGAGACAGAAAGCGAGAAATCACCCCTCCCCCCCCCAGGGAATGGCCACACCACAATCCCTTCTCCTCCATTCTCTTCTTGGGATCTTGGGCATACACATACATGCACCCGGCATGAGTTTAAACCACTAGGTCCAGGACTCGAACCGTGGTCGACTACATAGGAGTCCAGTGACATAGCCATTACGCCAACTGCTGGTCCCATTTTTCCAGATTTTTAAAATGATGTTCTTATTTATTAATTATTATTTAATTTGCTATAGGCCATGTGCACTCAGAGAGAAAGGCAGAGTGAGAAAAGAAGTCACCAAGTCATCATTATGCCAACTGCAGGTCCCACTTCTGCTTCATTCTTTAAAAGGAGCTGGAGAGTGGAAGCAGGTCCTCCTCTAGGTTTTCTGGCCTGTGTTGGTCTTCCTGACACTCCTGTTATTTTTCCAGCATTACCTGAACCAGGCCCAGCCTCAGTAGAGGCCCAGTCGTGAGGGCTGGGGAAGCCCCACAAACCTGGCACCACCAGCTGGTCTTGTGGAGCTCAGGCTCTCCAGCTTGTGTCTGCACCCAGCTGTGAAGACGAGGGCCATACCACCCTCCCCAGTGCTTACCTCACTCCCTGGTTCTTGCAGGCTGCCCTCAACCCTTGGGGTTCACCAGTGTTGTAGTCCTCACCCCCCTGTGGGCAGAAGGTACCAGCTCCTAAGCTGGCTTAGGGAAGTACCAAGGTAGTCATTCCCAGGTATGCATGGGAGGGCAGTGAGGCCGGCTACCGGTCAGGCCAGGCATGGGGGAGAATCGTGCCATGGCGACCCTGCAGTCATCCCTCCCACCACAGAGTCGCCATGGGCAGTGGGTAGGAGATAGTCTGGGGTGATGTGAGGGGACACCATCTCTACCTCCTCTCACCTGGGCCAGTCGGACGACACTCACCTGGAGAGTGTTCAAGGACAGCAAGAAAAATGAGGGACTTTCAGGGGCAGCTGTGTTTCCTGACTCAGTCATAATGCCCCTAAAAATCCTTATTGTTCTTGCAGTGTGCATCGGGTAGCGGCCACCAACTCAACCTTTGCCGACCTGGCCTCTCTGGGATGGGAGGACTTTTCCGAGGTCAAGTTGAAACTACTCTCCAAATGAGAGTGAATGGGGACTTGCTGATTATTTAAACAGTTTCGTCTGGCCTGTACACTGATTTGCATGCATTTTTACAACTTCCTCTGTTGGGTAGGTTGGGTGAGGGTTGGGAGGGCTGGGCTTTGAGACTTTCCTGTGCAGGTTGGAGCCCAGGAGAGTGTGCAGTCTCCGTGGTGTGCTGTGGTGAAGGCTCAGGAGAGCTCAGCTGTGCACACAGTGCCCGAGGCCATCATCCTGGGGTCACTTATGTTGAAGGTGACAGTGTTGGGCTGGGCTGGGTGCCCTCTTTCCTGAGAAGGTGGGGCAGGAGTACCTGGGCAGGCACTTGCATTATTCTTTAAGCCGTAGATAGTAGCCTCAGGGTCTGCTCTCTCAGCTCCAGCGACCGTTTGGGGAAGAGGGTTGCAGTGCATTGGGGCCTTTTCCTCTCTGCTGGACTCTGGAGCTTGCTCTTTCTTATCTGGATGTTCTTTATCCCTGTTTTACTTTCTGGGTCTCCTTTATTTTTAGCAGGTTCTCATCCCCAAAACTCACTCTACCCCCCCCCCCACCGGTATTTTTACTGAGCCAAGTTCTTACTTTGGGGGGAAGTGTAGTTTCAGGGTTCCTGGGACAATTGTCAAGAAGGAGAAGGGTCTTTTAAAATGGGGACCAATTTGTGGCATGCACCTTGCCCAACAACACTCCACAAGAATGTCTCCAAATCCCAAAGCAATGGACCCATGCTCTCCAACAGAGGCAGGGCAGACCCAGGTGCACGAGCAGCGAGGACGCTTCCTGCTCCAGCTGGCCCGTCCTTCTCATCAACCTCAGGAGTCAGCGGGGGCGTTCATCTTGGAGGCGTTTCTAAGATCCCCGGCTGCCAGGTGGAAAGCTCTCATCACCCGAGAACATGGCTGTGTGCTTGGTACTCACGAGACCCTGTCTGCCATGGCCCTCCTTCCCGGCTGGCCAGCCCCTGCTCCCTGGACTCTGACCCATCCTGCCTCTGCTGTGCTTCTATACAGCTCTCCCAGAGATGATTTGTTTATGTATTTAAGTTTATTCATGTTCTTCATGACAGAGGGCTTGTGTGCATGAGAGAAGCACCTTGACGGCCTTGTCGTGCTGCAATCCTCTTTCCCCCGCCCTCCCGCTCATCAGGATTCTGGGCACACAAGCATGTTTTCAAGCTGACCCTGGGATCCGAACCTGCAGATGGCCATGAGGCCCCAGCTTACCATCAACTGTGCCGCCAGGCAGGGCCCCCAGAGACTGTTTCTAAGTGACTGAATTTGCTCAAGAGCCCCCGCCTTCTTCTGTCCAGAGGAAGGAACAACTTCCAGGTAAAGTTCAAACACAAACCGTGTCTGTCCCTTCTTGGTACAAGATGACCAGCATTCTCGTGAAGTCTCACAACTTCCAGTGCACAGGGGTGAGAGGGCACGTCCCAGCTGCCCCGGTGGGCTTTGCTAGCATTCCCACTGCCCCTGCCTCTGAGGCCCTTCGCGCTGCCGTTTGTACCCCTTCCCCGCAGCCTCCTTGTTCCTGCATGTGTTCCTCATTCTTTTTCTTTTTCCTTCTTGTTTATTTTTATTTTATTCATGATAGAGAGCATGTGTGTGAGAGAGCACGAGTGAGTAAGACAGACACCCTTGGCAGGCTCTTGTCACACCATGATTCCCTTCCCCTGTCCTCCAGCTCCTCAGGAACTTTGGTGCTCTTGCGTGCTGACATGTTCCAGGTGGCTGAGGGTCTGGACCTGCAGGGGACCATGTGGCCTCCAGCATTGCAGTTCAGCACATTGCCCTGTGCCACCAAGGCTGGGACTGGGGCTGTTGCACTTTTATTTATTTATTAACTTTTGTCATAGGGTGTATTTGCTTACTGGGAAGGAGAGAGACAGATTCAGAAAGAGAAAGTGAGAAATCCCTCTCCCCGCCTCAGGGTTATGGCTATGCTGCAATCCCTTCTCTTGGGATTTTGGGGACACACACACACACACACACACACGTGTGCCCAGCATGATTTTCAAGCCCTGGGGTCCGAGTCTCAAACTGGTTGACAAAGTCGGAGTCGAGCACCTTAACCGCTGTGCCGCCTGCTGGCCTCGCTCCTCATTCTTCACACCAAAATATTTGCAAAAGGCAGCACATCAACTTTTTTAAAAGGCAGTATGTGAAAAATAAAAACTGATGGCTTTTGTTTTCCCAGTTGTAAAAGAATTCCTTCTCCCGTGAACCATTTGAGAAATACTAAGGGAAGAGGCTTATAAATACCCCTACCTAGAGAGGCTGCCTCCTGACGACATTTCTCCTTCCTTCCTTCCTTTTTCCATGTACCCATGTACCCCACTCGGCAGGACTGGGGCGGTTAAAAGGCGCATGCTCATGACCATTTAAGCGATGACCCTGTGCTCACCAAGTGGATTGTGCCGTGGGCTCCCACTGACTTCTGGCCAGGAAGCTTAGAGATCTTGGAGGGTGTTTCAGCCACAGCAGTGACTCTTCAAACGGTGGTGAAGTTGGCACAGGGGTCCTGGAAATGCGGGCTGTGTCCTGGCTAGTCTCTGACTAGGGGCCCATAGCCTCTTACCCTTGGTTGCACAGAAGGATCACTTAGGGGGACCATTTAGAAGTTACCAGCTCCCGGGCCCCACCTAAGACCGGGTTGCTGGTGGAGGGAGCCTGGGGATGATATCTCTGTTTTGTTTGCTGTTTGGCTGCTTGCCCCTCCGTTCCTCAGGTGGCTCTGTTCAGCAGCCAGAGGCAAACCGTTGGGCTCTGCGCCCACAAGGTAGAGATGGGAGAGATTTCCTTCAGCCGGAGCAGACCAGGGGCCGTGACCATTTGCAGCTGGCAGACTTTCACTTCATTGTTTCTCCTGCTGCTTAGACTTGTCTGGTCCTCACTGTGCAGGCAGAAAACAGAGGCTAAGGAGATCAGGGACTTACTGAGGACAGAGCTGGGATATGACTGAGCAAGGATTTAAACCTGTGACTTCTGATGACCCTCCTCCACCACCATTAGTGCTATTTCAGCAAAAATAGTTGTTAGTAGTAATAATTCACATTGGTAATGTAGGAAGCATATTATAATGCTTTAACAATAATAATTAAACATGGTATTCCCAGGCAGGTGGGTGGAGTGCCCACCACTCATAGGATGTACCTGTGCCCGGCAGGTGGGTAATCCCTTAGTTCCAGGTGTAAATGAGCACCCTGCCAACCTGGATCCACAGACGCCTGCTCTGGCTACGGTACTGTCAGTAGTGCCGGCTCTAGGTAGGGCTGGGATTAGCCCCGGTTTATAGCTGAGGAGCTTTTGGGCTTGGTCCAGGTCACCTGCCTTTGGGGACAGCCTCTGCCTCTACCTGCTGGTTCCCTGCTCCTTGCTTGGACAGAGGCACCTAGGACGGTGCCCAGCCCTGCATGGGACTGGCTTGTCTGTGCCCTCAGGGTCAGGAGCCCCGCTAGGCTATGCTTAGGGCTCTAGAGCATTGGCCCTGCCTCCCCTTCTGTCCTGCAGAGGTCAACTTGAGAAGCCAGGCCAGAGAGCTGGCTGGGCACAGTGCCAGGAGAGCCGATGATGGCCAATGGCCCTATTGTCAGCTCCAGGAAGCAGTGGGTCTGGAGAGCCAGAGGGCCAGCCTATGGCAGACAGGGCCTGCAGAGATGGGAGCCTGGAGAGAACACCGCTTTCCTGGAGCCATGTGGCTCTGGGCCAGGCCCTTGAGCTTCCTTTGGAAGGGAGTGTCCTGAGTGCTTGGCCACACCTTCCCATGCTTGGCATCACTGGCCCCCTCCCTTCTCTGCCGCTCACTCCCTCCTTCCCGCCCAGCCCTCTGCTGCAGGAGTGCATAGTGTCGGCAATGACAGTCATTAAACCTGCTTCCCAGAAAGCCCGAGCGTGCAGAAGCAGACTCAGCCGGTGCCTCACTGGGCCGTGGGGCTGTGGACACGGTATCAGCTTAGGCCTTTCTTGCCTAGGTTCCCAAAGCTCTAAAGTGCCTTAGCTTACCTGGGTCAGAAATAACCTCAGCTCAACTAGCAGTTCAGCTAGTGACCTGGCTGCTAGAAAAGTCTGAGCTCCTGGAACTGGGATGGGGCAAGCCACGGCCCAGGAGTCTGATCAGGAGTAGTCGTTTGGCTGAGGAACCTTGGATAAAACCCCTTCCTCTCTGAGCCTGCTGCCTCATTTGTTTGAGGATGTAATTGTGCCCTGGGGAATGTGTCTACTTTCTAGGCTTACTCCAAATACAGGCTTGAGGCCATCGCTCCCTTTCCCTTCCCTCCTAGGAGTACACTCAGCAGAGCGCTCTGGCTGCCTGGCACGAGAAGACACCCAGTGAGTGGCAGTTGCACCGCGGAGCTCAGGACGGTTCCAGCATGGTGGATGGTGCCTCCCATCCTGATCCTACCAGATGGTCATTCCCAGCATTGCTCTGTGGCCGTCCTGCCCCGATGAACCCTTTTGAGATGATGTCTCTGAACTGGGAAAGCTATCCCCTCACCTTTGTCCTGGGTTCCTCTCTGGTCTGGCTGCTGGGATTCAGTGCTCATGGAGGCATGCTTCCCCACTGGGGAGTTTGTCTTACAAGTCCCCATGCCACCATTGGCTCCAAGGCACCCCACTGGGCCTGGGCCAGAGGAACTGCTGCAGAACTCCTCCCACCCTGCCCGCTGCTTTGGGCTGCACGGCCAGGCACAGGCAGGAGGTCTCTCTGTTTGGCCTGACTGGCAGGGAAGCAATCAGTGCTCTGCCTGTGCCTAGTAACATCACAGGAAGGCAGACTTTGGGTTGGAATGAGCCTTGAGGTCACCCCGATGGCCACTACGGAGTCTTCTGGAGGTAGGAAAGGGCAATACTGTGACCCCTGGGTATGTGGAGACGTGGTGGTCATCTCTTGCTTTCCATGGCTCTTTATTCTGCTGCTGCTACTTCCTTCAGGAGGTCACCGGTATCGCTGGGGTTCCGGTAGAGCCAACACTACCCCGTGGCTTAGGCATAGGCATGTGATATAGGCATGGATGTGGACTCCCCCTTGGGACTTCTGCAGCAGCTCTAGAAAAGACATTCTCTTTCCATGGGTGATAGGATGTAAGCTTGGAACCACTGGTGGCCACCCTGTTCTCCATTCGGGAATGGAGCCAACAACAAGGGAATTAAAGTAAGAGGGCACAGTGTGAGAGCCATACATCAGGAAGGCCCTGGATCCAGCTGTGCCTAAAGTGCTTCCTCTTGTCTAAAACCAGCTCTAGTTGGCTTCCTATCATAGACAAGGTCCTAATCCAGGCAGTGTTTTTCATTCGTTACATTTTTTTCTTAATTGAAAAAAAAAATAATCCCAGAGGGTGCGTGCACTTATCAGAGAGCGAGAAAGGGAGAAAGACCCCTCTGATGGGGCATGTTCACACCACAATCCTTTCTCCTTCCTGATGGGATTGGGAGCACACACATACCTGGTGTGTTTTTCAAGCCATCAGACTTGGGATTCACCACACAATTGTTCATGTGGGATCCGATTCCCTTAACCACTAGGCCGTGGAGCCAACCCTTTAGTTGTATTTTTAAAAATCAGCTTCAGGGACCAGTAGGTGACATAGTGGTTAAGTCAGTAGTCTCACACGTGGCCAACTATAGTTCAAGTCTCAGACCCGGCAACTTGAAACTCAACACCAGATGTGTGTGTGTGTGTGTGTGTGTGTGTGTGTGTGTGTGTGTCTGAAATCCCAAGAGAATAGAGAAGAGACTGCAGCATGGCATTCCCCTCTTGGGAGAACCCCCCCCTTCTCCACAACTATCTCTCTGTCTCTCCAGTGAGCACATGCGCCCTATAGCAAAATATCTCCCAAACAAAAACAAAACAAAAAAATAAAAACTTCAGTAAGGTATACTTTATATCAAATGAAATTTCATTTTAAATGTGTAATTCATAAGTATGATGAACTATGTACACCTCTGTAACTGTAACTACCACCACAATCAAGATGTAGAATCCTTTTTTTTTTTTGGTAAGACATTTTTATCTTCCCCCAAAAGTTGCCTCATTCCCTTTTATGGTAAGTCCCCCCTGACCTAGCCAACCATTAGTTTCTTTTCTAGAGGTTCACTTTGTCCTTTTAGAATTCTGTGTAAAGGGGATTAAATCGTGTCTGGTTTCCTTTACTCAGCATGTTTTTGACATCCGTCCATGTTACGTGCAGTTGTCCATTCTCCTGTACTGCTGGGTAGCTTTCCATTGTATGGACGTACCACAGTTTCTTTAGCCATGTATCAGTGGACTGTTTGAGCCGTTTCCAGGTACTGGCTATTATGAATAAAGCTCTTTTGAACACTCACAAATCAGTCTGTGTGTGGGTGTGTGTTTTGATTTTTATACCTAGACCTCAGTCTCATTTTACAGTTGAGGAGATTGAGGTTCAGGGAGGTAGGACAGCTTTAGTCACAGGTCTGCTGATCCTAGGGCTGGCCCAGCAAGCACAGCTGGGGGTCATTAGGGAGCTGAAGCTCTAGAGCATGGGTGGGCTCGTCCCATAGCCTAGTGGTTAATTCAGGCAACCGGATCCCACGTGGCTGAGCACGTGTTTAGGTCTTCACCCTGTTAGCTTGAAAAACACACCAGACACATGTTCCCCAAACCCTGACAACATGGAGAAATGGAGAGGGGATTGTGACATGACCACGTCCCATCGGGGGTTGCTATCTCCCTCTCTCTCTGTCCCTAGTGAGTACACACACCTTCTGGCAAACATAAAAGTGAATAAATGAAACATGGGTGTTGGGGTATTCTTTCATAAAGGGGGCCTACGACTGCCTGGGAAGTAGCTCATGGGGTCCTGGTCCCTACGAACACCATTGCTGGGAAGGACTGTCCAGATGAGCAGTAACCTTGATCCTCACCGTGTCACCCCACCCCACCCCCAGACCAAGATTCCTTTCGCCTTCTGGATTCTGAAGCCTGAAAGGTAGTATTTACTGAATAGCCTGTGTTGGTGAAGCCAGATTCGATTTCCCTAAATAGATTCCTCTAAACACATCCAGAACTCCCGTCGGAGCTGACTGCAGTACTTACGAGCAAACCTGGAAAAGACCTGGAGGTAAAGTCATTCCAGCCAAGAACCAAAGCTCACCCCCTTGTTGTTCGGGTTTGACAGCCTAATGAGTTGTGGGCTTCTAACGTCTAGAGGATAGCAAGTTGGTAACCCTAGTTACTCTGTTTCCCAGGTCTTCCGCCACATCTCCCTCTTGGTTTCTTTCCAGACCAGCCCTTGGAAGTCAAGGAGAATGTTTCTTCCATGCTGTGAGTGCAGAGTCACCTCCCTTGGGACCCAGAGTCACCTCCCTTGGGACCCAGAGTCACCCGAACTGCTGAAGCCAGATAGACTGTGAGCCAGTACTTCCTTTTCCTCACTGGAGCCGGCTTGCACCTGGAAGAGTCCTGGCTAATGCACCTTAGCCATGACATCACCCTCCAGTACCCCCCCCCCAAGTATTCTCAGGGTGAATGAACGGAAGGCCAGTCCAGTTTACTTCCTAGAGACCAGACACTGGCCCAGATATTTCATATACTTTATCTCATACCCTCTCAATAACCCTAGAGCAAGACACTGCTATCCCCAATTTACTGCAAGGGAAACTTAGGCATGAAGTTAAGCCACAGAGCTGGACTGTGGGTGCATCACCCCTGTCTTGCGTGCTTCTCTAGCTCCTCTCAGCTCCCCCTGTCTGCCAGATTCCTGGCTTTGTCCTCAGGCCCTGAAGGACTCCACAGTTTGAGAGCTGAAGCCAGCCCCCTGCTTCTCCGGAGTGTAGTCCCCCAGGACCTGGCTCCCAGATGACTGCCAAAGGGCCGGAGAGAGCAACCCTGGCAGGGAGGACGTGAGCACGGGATGTCCTCTGGGGTGAACTTTGAGCAGTCTGTGCGGGGAGGATGCCCCTTCTGCCCCCCGTTTCCTCCCCCAGCCATGGCTTAGTTTGTGTGAAGCAGGGGCAGTGTGGTTACCTGTCATCCTGCATCACCTGTCCCCTGCCTCACTTCTCTGTTCCTCATTCTTGTGGCCCTAGGAGTCTACAGTAAATACCTCCAAAGGAGAGAATCGGCACCTGTCCCTTGCCAAAGGCTTTTCTAGGGGAGTCAGTCTGCAGACCTAGTCTGACTCCTGGATTTGCACCATACCGCTTCCATCAATGTCGAAGAAGAGGAGAGATGTCTGCGGACAAAAATGAATGATATCTGTGCTTTAAATGCCAGTGGGATGGGGGAGTGTGTAGGGGGACAGAGATGGTGCCAAATTCATCCAAGACCATTTCCCTATCCCTCTTTCCCCCATTCACTAGGTCTAACCAGTCAAATCCTCCCTGACCCTCTGTACTTCCAAGGCTGTTGCCTCCCCACTAATTTCTGTAGTACAAAAGAATCCACACTCCCTGGGAACCAGCAGTTAGCGTAATGGCTATGTTGCTGGACTCCCACGTAGTCTACCGCGGTTCGTGTCCCGGACCCAGTGGCTTAAAACTCACGCCGGGCGCGTGTGCGTGCATGCCCAAGATCCCGAGAGGAGAATGGCGGAGAAGGGATTGCGGCATGACCATCCCCCCTGGGGGGTGATTTCTCGCTTTCTGTCTCTATGTCTCTGTCTGTCTGGCGAGCACACGCGCCCTACAGTGAAAATCTCTCCAAAAAAAAAAAAAGAATCCACACTCCCTGATCCTCAGTGTACTAGGTATGTGACACTAGCAAGGTGACGAGCCTCAGTTTCCCCATCTGTAAAATGGGGTCAAGAATGGTCTCGCTGCTTGGACCATGGGGAGTCTACCGCGTGCTGGTGCTTGGTTGTAGGGGCTCCTGTGGAGGCTGCCTGTTCATCATCACCTCTTCCAATGATAGCTCTCTCTTCAGGAAACCTCCCATCCTCCATGCTCACCTCAGTCCCAGCTGAGTACATGAGGCTGAAGAGGAAAGCAGAGCCAGGAGATGGGCAGAATGCAGGTTTCTGCTGTTGCCCCTGTAGCTCCTGGATCCAGCCATGCCAGGAGCTGGTTAAACCCTCGTACTTTTTAGGAATCAGTACATCAGCCAACGTTTTCTGTTTTATTAAGCCAGTTTGAGTTGAGTTTTAAAGCGGAAATGCTCCTGACTAATACAATAGGTTATTTGTAAATGATCACTTCTGTTAATGCAATTAGCATGATTGTAAACACATTACCAGGAAGATGGGGATGCAGAGGCCAGATTCCCCGCCCGTGCAACCACAGCTGCTCCCCACACATGGTGCCCATGTTTCGGCCCCCTGGGCAGTCTGTTTGCTGCGGATACACCCCAGGCGCCTGGTTTCTGGCACACGTAGGTAATTAATAAACATCTGTTGAGTGGACAAAGGAAGCAGGCCCATTGTCCATTGACTCCAGCGTGTCCCGCCTCCCAGTCGCCATGCCAGGGTACACATTTGCCCCGTTTGTCAGTGGCTGACCTCTGGACCCCCCGGAGTGACTGCTGAGAGTTGTCTTGGCTGGAACTCATTTCTCGCTTTCACAGTTTTACAGGCCCTACCTGGTTTCTCGGGCCTTATTCATCCCTTTATCCTTTCATATATTCAACTATGGGCCTGGTCCAGTAGCACAGTGGTTAAGCACAGTGCATAGGGAACCAGATCCCACGTTGCCAACTGCGGTTCAAATCCTAGCCCTGGCTACTTGAAAAACATGCAGGGCACATGTGCATGTGTGCCCCAGATTTTGACAGGATGAATAAATGGAGAAAATGGGAGTGCAGCGGGACATTGCTCCATGTGTGTTTTTTCTCTGTGATAAGCACACATGCCCTCTGGCAACCAGGAAAAAAAAGATATCCATTCTGCTTATCAGGGAGAGATGCGAAAGTGAACGAGGATTTGCCTGCCTTCGGGGAACTTCTGTTCTAATGGGTCTACATATTGACAAATCTGACCCAATTAGGCTAGCGTAGGCATTTGGGTACATTTCTCCTACAGACCAGATAATGAAATAACTGAGGAGCCTCTTTTGGTTGTAGGCTACATTGAAATGAATGCAGCTTCTCTGTCTTGCAAGTCATCATGGAAAAGCTGGCGGCCCAGGACCCTGAGAGGCAAGTGTCCACTCTGCCAGCCTCTGCACTCTGCTTCCCTACCCAATGCACCTGCCACCTCAGAATCACTTTCCCACCCTACTGATGGAGAATTAGGCTCTGAGAAGCGAAGGCATTTCCCTGAGCAGAGAGAGGACTCAACCTATCCTTGCACTTTAGGAGGGACCCTGGGTGGGTGGGTGGGGTTGACCTCAGAACTGGTCAATCCTCTCATCGTAGCTAACAGTTGGTGTCTGTTGCTCCCAGAACCTCATGTGAACAGCCTTATCGCTCCTCCCGTATTCGCCCTTGGATAACAGGCCCTGATACCCTTTTCTGCAGCTCCCATCCCAGCTCCCAGGGTCGGCTCCGTGTTAGTCATCTCTGCATCTCCCACACCTTGCACCAAGCAACTGCCCCGTGGTAGAGTTGCAGTGCCATGGGCATCTGGCACCCCCTTTCCCTTCTAATTGTAGCTCCTGTGTCATTCTGTCTAGTCCTGGAGGACTTTATGCTTCCTGGCAGCCAGGTGGTCACATGATCCTGGTGAGGCCAGTCACAGTCCAGAGACTCCAGATGGGTCCACTAGCTGGATGTGGGATCCTGTCAGAGTCCATCCCTGGAATAATCTGAATTTTCCCCTTGGGTCATGAGCTGTAAGATTCCGACTCCAGATCTCCCAGGGGCATGTGACTGAACCTGTGAGAATGAGGTCCTAGATCAGTCAGTTGAGAACACAAGGCAGTAAATTCCCACTCACCACCTTTTTACAATTTTTTGCCAGAGGACATGTGTCCTGCTGGAGAGACAGAAAGAGAGGGAACGAGAAAGCACCTCTCATGGGGGACGGCCATGATGTAATCCCTTCTCCATTTCTCATTTTGGGATTTTGGGTACACATGCACGGGCACCCAGCATGTTTCTGAAGCCACTGACTCTGGGACTTGAACCATGCAGTTAGTCCTGTGCGATTCAGCCGACTTAATCACCATGCCATAAGCTGGCTCCTCTCTCTCTCTCTCTCTCTCTCTCTCTCTCTCTCTCATTTTTGTTCTCTCTTTTTTTGTCAGAGGGCATGTGTACTCACCAGAGAGAGATGGAGAGAGGGAGGGAGAAAGCATCCCTGGTAGGGTGCAGTCATGCTGCAATTCCTTCTCCATTTCTACATCCCGTTGGGATGTTGGGCATGTGTGCACACACGCCCAGAGTGTTTTTCAAGCCACTGGGGTTGGGAGTCAAACTACAGTCAGCCATGTGGAATCCAGCTCCCTTAGCCATTAAACTAAGGGGCCAGCCCTCTCTCCTTTCTTCCCTCCTTCTTTCATTTCTTGTTTTGACAGACTTAATGTGTTGCCCCTGGGTGTGTGTGTGTGTGTGTGTGTGCGTGTGTGTGGCTCAAACTTGTGACTTTCTTGTCTCAGCCTCTCTGCTAGTTGGGATTTCAGGTACACACCACCATGCCCAGTCTCAATTTCTCGATTTGTAACACTAGACCAATATTCATTGACTTCTGCAAGTACGTGAGCATTTAGCCCACTGCCAGTCCTCACCTCCTTCTCAACTTTGAAATTTGTAGTACATTTAGCGTATGTTCACCGCCTATATTTAAATGTCTGTTTCTTACAACTTTTGGTATTTTTTGTCTCCCCCACCCTTTCAGGATAAGAACATGGATGTCCTGACCATTTCCTCTGCTGCTTCACACTCCACCTTCATCAGCCAACATTTTTTACATTGTGTGTGTTATTGACATACACATTATCTCGTGCTTCACAATCAGTTTTTACAGCTTTGCAAGTTGACTCAAAAGATTAAAAGCCAAGTGGTCCGCAGGTGGTGTGGTGGTTAAGGGCGCTGGACTCCCACAGGGCTGACCACAGTTCAAGTCCTGGACCTGGCGGCTTGCTTTCTCACTTTTCTTCTCTCTCTCTCTCACTCTGTCCTTCTCTGGTTAAATTAAAGCAAATAAATAAATAAATAACGTTAAATAAAATAATTCTTAAAAAAAGATTAAAAGCCAAGAAACAACATTTACAAGACTAACTATTAAATACCATTTACTGTATAAGTGCTTTTTAACCAAAGCTAGTTTGATTTGGGTTTCCATGGCTTATGGCCAACGTGTCTCAACTTCTGCACTCCAGTTTTGTTGAATTAGACAAGATGCATCCTCATGCCTTCAAAGGCTAGGTCAGAGCTCCCCCATAGCCAGCTTCATGGACCTGGGCCTTGTGCAGTCACACAGAGAACCAGCCAACCTATGTAGCCATCAACTGAGAAGGATAAGGAAAAGATGGCATATATTGTGTTGTCAGAAAAGTCAGGACTTATTTTTCTGTGTTTTTCTTTTTTCTTTTTTTTTGTGGAGGGATGTTTTTGCTACAGGGCATGTGCGCTCACCAGAAAGACAGAGAGAGACGGAGAGACAGAAATCACCCCCAGGGGGATGGCCACGCCGCAATCCCTTCTCCTCCATTCTCCTCTTGGGATCTTAGGCACGCACACACACACGCCCGGCGTGAGTTTAAGCCACTGGGTCCAGGACTTGAACCATGGTCGACTACATGGGAGTCCAGCGACATAGCCATTACACTAACTGCTGGTCCTGATGTTTTTCTTTTTTTAAAGAACTATTTATTATTATTGTTATCATCATTATTATTACTATTTAATTCACCAGAGAGAAGGAAGTAAGAAAGCAAGCCTCGGTCTGGGACTTGAACCACGGTCAGCCATGTGAGAGTCCTTGTGCCACAATCACCACACCACTTGCTGGCGCCTCTATGTTTTTCTCTGCAAAAGTGTGTTATGATTTTCCCAAGAACCCAATACACACAGTGGAATACTATTTGGCCATTAAAAAGGATGAACTCCCTTTGACGTTACATGGGTGAACCTGGGGAATATTATGTTAAGCGAAATAAGCTAGGCATGGAAAAGAAATACTACATGTTCTTCAATATGTGGAAATTGAAGGGAAAAACAAAAGCCTTATAGTGGCAGAAAGATAAAGAATGAGTGCTAGAGGGCTGGCCCCATAGCACAGAGGTTGCGTGCACTGCATAGGAACTGGATCCCAAACGACTGACCATAACTCAGGTACCAACCCTAGCAGCTTGAAAAACACACTGGGCACGTGTGCATGCATGTCCCAAAGCCTGCTGGGATGGAGAGATGGAGGAAAGGGTTGCAGAACCCACGGAGGGTGCCGTCCCTCTGCCCCATTCTCTCTCTGGCCAGTGCATGCACCCTTTAGCAATTAAAAAAAAAAAAAAGACTGCAAGAGGCTGGAAAGGATGGGGAAGGGGAAGTAGATGGTGGTTAATAGAAATACCACAGAGAGAAGGAACAATTCTGGGCTTAGAAAAACACAACAGGGAGACGATAGATGGTAACAGCTTGCTGTGTATCTCAAAGCGACTAAAAGGGAAGATTTTGAATGTTCCCGACAGGAGTAATGACGAAAGGGTGAGATGAGGGGGTACCCTAATCATCCTGAACAAATCATGACACATATTCTTGTACTGTGTCATTGCACTGTACCCCAACACGTTTTGTTAATTAAAAAAAAAGTATAAAGGGCCCTGTGCTTGGTTTAATGCTCTGCTGTCAACGTCCTGAGATTCTTAATAACCTGAATGAAAGGCCCCACCAATTACATAGCCAGCCATGAGCTCATCACCTTGATGCAAGAAGCCTGAGCTTTGTGAGAAACACTCTCTTGCCTTAGGCACCTGCCCAGTGCTTGGGAGGACAGGCCGGGTCCTTAGGCAGCTCCTGCGGCAGCCACAGAAAACCGGGTGTTGCAGGTCCCTCACACTGCGAGGTCACAGTTCTCTGAGGGCCCTCTTATAAAGATGTCGTCAACCTTGGGAAGCCCTGGGCTGTGTGAGGGAGATGGGGTTATCCCACATTACAGAGAAGCATGGGGCTGAACCATCTGCCGCAGACCCTGTGAGTGGCAGAGACGGAGACAGCACCTCTAGTAGAGTCTGGATACCACACATCACCCCATGCCTCCCCAGTCCTGGGTCAAGGCCATGCACATGCCCAGCACATGCAAGGAAGTCTCAGGATGTGAACCAGGAGCCTTCCCGTGTGAGTCAGCCTCACAGAGCCCCGTTTTACCTCTGAACCATCTGGCCTATGTACCACTTTTAAATGGTAGATCCTAGATTTGAGTCTGGGCCTCGAATTCCCAAACCCTCTCTGTTCCATCAGATTGCCTCCAGCCCAATGCTGCACACGAAGGGACAGACTTGCTCCCCACATGCCGTGTGTCCTTTAGTAAGGGACTTGCCCTCTCTGGGCCACTTAGCCTAGGGGTCCGCAGAAGGAGCTGAAAAGTCCCTTTCAGTAGAATCACTATGTAACCAAGTAGTGGGGGAGGAAAGTGTTTCTTTTTTTATGGATGGAAATACACCATTTTGTAGTCGTTAATGAATGCATCGCTTGAAGCAGCAACGGCTGCTAACTTCACACACGCACACACAGAAGAACTGGACACCACGTGGCCTCCCCTCCAGAAGAGTGCCGTGCCACCCGATCACACAGTCTTGCTAAACAAGAACAAAAAATCACAGTCGAATCTGATCATGACTCTACATCTACCAATTCAGAGAGGAAGCAGGCTAGAAGAACGTGTTGCGCTATGCCACAGGGCATCCATCAGCAAAATCCAGATGGAGCAAAATGCCGAGACCACTGGATTCTTCAGATCAATAAATTACAAGCAAAAACTTAGACCAAAAGAAACTCAAAAGATGCCCACTGCGAGGTGCACATCTTGCTCGGACCTAAATGTAAACAAACTGTCAAAAAGCCATGATGTGACAACTGGAAATGTAAACGTTGACTGGCTCTTTGATAATAATAGGCATCACTGGGGCCGGTAGGTGGCGTGGTTAAGGTGGTTGGATCCCACCCACATAGTCAATGGCATTGGTCAAGTTCCAGTTCCAGTGGCTTGAAAACACACTGGGTACGTGTGCACGCATGCGCCAAGTCCCCAGAGGGGGAGTGGAGGAGACGGGATTGCGGCCTGGCCATTCCTCTTGGGTGGTGCTTCCTCACGTTTGCTCTGTCTTTCCAGTAAGCACATGTACCCTA